TACAAAATCAGTGTACAAAATCCATTGTATTCTTATATGCTAACAATGAAACATCGAAAAAGGAATGAGAAAAGAATCCCATTTGCCAAGTGCAACAAAAAGAATAAAATACTTAGGAATAAGCTTAGCAAAAGAAGTAAAGGACCTATACACTGAAAACTACAAGATTTTGTTGAAAGAAATTAAAGAAGACACAAAGAAATGGAAAGACATTCTGTGTTCACAGATTGGAAAAATCAGCATTGCTAAAATGGCCATACTGCCTAAAGCAGTATGCATTTTTAATGCAGTTCCCATCAAAACTCCAACAGCATTTTTCAAGGAAATAGAACAAATATCCTCAAATTGTATGGAACCACAAAAGACCCCAGATAGCTGAAAGCAATCCTGAAGTATGGGGGGACGGGGGATAAAGCCAGAGATATCACATTCCTGACTTCAAATTATACTACAAGCTACAGTAATCAAAACAATATGATACTGGCAGAAAACTGACACTCAAATCAATGGAACAGAATTGACGGCCCAGAAATAAAACCATACCTAAATGGGCAACTATCAACTAAGGAATCAAAAAACTACAGTGGAGAGAAAGAAAGGCTCTTAAATCAATGTTGTTGGGAAAATTGAAGAGCCACATGGAAAAGAATGAAATTGACTCCATATACAAAAATTAACTCAAAACAGATTAAAAACTTAAATACATAAGACCTGGAACAGTAAAATACATAGAAGAAAAGATAGGTACTAAACTTATGTAACTTGGTCTCCAAAGACAAGGGAATTAAAAACAAAAATAAATGAATGGGACTACATCAAACTAAAAAGCTTCTGCACTGCAAAAGAAATCATCAGCCAACTAAATGGGTAAAGATATTTGCAAACAGTACCTCCAATAAAGGGATACTTTCCAAAATATATAAAGACTTTCTACAACTCAACAACCAAAAAAAATCAATTCAATTAAAAAGTGGGCTGAGGACCTGAACAGACACATTTCCCAAGAAGACAATACAAATAGCCAACATATATGAAAAGATGCTTAACTTCATTTGCTAGAAGGAAAATACAAATCAAACCACTATGAGATACTACCTCAGCCTAAAGAAAAGGATGAAATATTGCCACGAATATTGACAAAATGGATGAATCTTGAGAGTATCATGCTTAATGAAGTAAGTCAGATCGAAGACAAGAACTATTTGGTTTCACTCATGTGGGATATAAAACGGAAAGTAACAAACTCATAGACACAGACAACAGTATGGTGGTTACCTGAGGGAACAAGTGAGACGGGAATGAAGAAGGAAAGGAGGTCAAATATATGGTGATGAAAGGAGACTAGACCTATGTTGTGAGCACAGAATGCAATATAAAGTTCCTTTGAAGACACATACTAACAAACTCACTGATGAAGAAATAGAAAATCTGAATATATTAAAGGAATTTGTACTGGCAGTTAAAAACTGTCCCACAAAAAAAATTACTGGCCTCCATGGCTTCACCATTAAAATCTACCAGACAGTTAAAGAAAAAGTAATACCAGTTATCCAAAAAACTCATCCAAAAAATTGAAATGGATGGAATACTTCCCAACTCATTCTAGGAGGCTGTTACCCGGATACCAAACCAGACAGACATTACGGAAATTAAAAAAAAAAAGGGGGGGCTATGTACTGTATTCCTCATGAATACAGACAAATGTTTATATAAAATTTTAGCATATTGTATTCAACAATATTTCAAAAAGGATAATACAACTTTGCTAAGTTTGGTTTATTCCAGGAGTACAAGATTGGTTTAATGTTCAAAAAACACTGTCTTTCACCAGAGTAATACACTAATAAAGGTCATCTCAATAGTTACAGACAAGTATTTCCCAAAAATTCAAACATTCTTTCCTGATTAAAATTCTGAAGGAATTGAAGGCAGTTTCCTCAGCCTGACAAAAGAGTATCTGAAAAAAACCTACAGCTAATGTCACACTTAATAGTGAAACAAAAAATGCTTTTCCCTCAAGAACTAGAACTAAAACAAGATGAGGATATTTACTCTCAGCCCTTCCATCAGCATGCTATAGGGGTTCTAGCCAGTACAATAAAAAGAAAAGAGCAGTAACAGGCCTCCAAATGGGAAAGAAGTAAAACAGTCTTTATTCATAAATGACATTAATCATCTGTTAGCTTATTCCTTGGAGGCTACAGAGAAACTGCTACAAGTTGTAAATGAGTTTAGCAAGGTTGCATATGTAAAATAACATCAATATACAAAAATCAATTTATATATACTAGCCACAATTAAGTAGAAATTAAACAGTGCCATTTATAATAGCATAAAAATATGCAATATTTATTTAATATATGAACATATCTATATAAATATAAATTAATGTAAATCTGACAAAAGATGTGGAAGAACCTCTTGATGAAAACTATAGAGAGAACTTAAAGACCTAAATAAGTAAAGAGATGTATACCATGTTTATTGGTAGGAAAACTCAATATTGTTAACATGTCATTTTTCCTCAAATTGATCTATAGAGTCAGTGCATTTTTGATCAAAATCCTAGCAGGCTTTTTTGTAGAATTTGAAAAACTTATTCTGATTTGTGTGGAAATTCAAAGTACCTAGAATAACTAAAACCTTTAAAAAGGACAATGGTAAAGAGTAACACTACCTTGTCTTAAAATTTATTTTAAAGCTCAATAATCAAGAGAATGTATTATTGGTGTCAAGACAGAAGGTCCACAAATAGGCCCAAACTTTTGGGCTGCTAATTTTCAACCGTGATGGAAAGGATAGTCTTTTCAATAAATGGTCATTGGAACCATAGGATATCCATGTATAAAAGGAAAAAACTTCATTTTATACCTCACACCATAAATGAACTCAAAATGGACCACAGATCTAAATGAAAAAATCCTGAAGTTATAAAACTTCTAGAAGAAAACATCAAAGAAAATCTTTGTAACATTTGATTAGGAAAGATTTCTTAGATATGACACCAAAAGCAGTTTATAAAAGAACAAATTGATTACTTGGACTTCATCAAAATTAAAAAATCTTCTCTTTAAAAGACTGTTAAGAGAATGAAAGGACAAGCCACAAACAGAGAAAATGTTTTTGACTTATGTATCTGAATAAGTACTTGTATCCAGAACAAAGAACTCTCAAACTCAATAAGAAAACGGGTAGGCTTCTCCCCCCACCACACCCCCGCCCCAATTTAAAGCAACCCAATTATTTTTAAATAGGCAAAAGATTTAAACAGACACTTTACCAAAGAAGATATCCAGATGGTAAATAAGTACATCTAAAGAAGCTAAACATCACTACTCATCAGGAAAATGGGAATTAAAACCACTGTAAACCGTTACACACCTGAGGATTTGGAGAAACTGGAACTCTCGTGTACTTCTGCTGGGAATGTAAAACTCTATAACTGCTTTTGAAAGCAATTTTGCAGTTTCTTTAAAAGTTAAGTATACACCTACTATATGAACAAATTGATTATAGCCATCTCATTTCTGGATATTTACCTAAGACAAATGAAAGCATATCCATTTAAACACAAATAAGAATATTCATAGCAGCTTGAGTTGTAATAGCTAAAAACTATAAATGATCCAAATAGTCATGAACAGGTGTATGGATAAACAAACTGTGGTATATCTTTGATCCAGTAGTATACCTCAGCAATTAAAAAGGAATAAACTATCAACACATGCAAAAAAAAAAAAAAAGGATAAATCTCAAAACAATTGTGCTGTGTGAAAAAACCACACAAAATAAGAGTACATTATTTTGTATTACTCCATTTATATAAAATTCCAGGAAATGCAAACTAATCTATAGTGATAGAAATCACATCAGCAATTGACTTATGGCAGGGGAAGAGCAGGGAGAATGAGAGGAAGTTATTCTAAAGGGGCACAAGGAAACTTTTTGGGGTGTTGGATGTGTTCATTAACTTGATTGTGGCAGTGGTTTCACAAGTGTATAAATGTCAAAACTTATCAAAGATGTACACTTTAAATATATTTGTCCATTATATTTCAGTTTGTATGTCAGTTACACTTTAATAAAGCTAGCAAAAAAAAAAGTAAAGGGAAGAAGGAAAAACAATCTTTTCTATGTAATAGAGCTTTATGTATCATTTTCCCTAATAGGTAGTTCAGATGATTATGTAACCAGCTGGTCTATCTACTAACAAGAATGAGGGACTAGGGAATTAGCTCATATCTTTGTTAATTTATTAATAATTATGGTTATATGATAAAGGTAACTAAGTTTATCTAATTGTAAAACCACTTATTCTGGATCATTCCTGTAGTTTTTTAATATTTAGCAAATCATGCGATGCTATTGTTTCCCATGGTCATTTGTCTAAGTTAAATTTAACATGTAGTTTGTTTCAAACCTGGGATTAACTTTTTAATAGAATAAATGTAATATTAAAATTAGTTTTAGGATGTTAAAGTTAATTGTTTAAAGTTGTTTTTCATGACCTTAAAGTTTTGGTATGCTGCTTTTACAATTTTAGAATGCCTCTTTGACTTCTTTATTTCATGGTATTTCTTGTATAAAGTTGTTTTTATATTAGCCTGTTTTGGTACCTGTAAATGTTGAAATGAATATAAATATGACTATTTAGAAATAAACCATTCCTGTAAAGTCTTACCCAAATTAAATTCCAAATTTATTACTTTTAAAAGATTCACATACTTAAAAAATTATTTCTAATCTCAAATTAACTGTTAAACAAATATATTTTTTTAATAACTAGAAATTGTGTGGGCTTAATTACTCTTTGGGGTTTTTGTAACTAAAAGTTTTGGTTGAATAAGTCTGTGCAAATGGAATAAGTTAGAAGGGGAAGGTGCATAATTAAAGTTTGAATTACATATAAATGTTTTGAAATAGTTTGGTGTAAAAATCTGTGCAATGAAGTAGAAGTAATCTTGGAATTCTTAATATGCCTTGTTTTTCCCTTTCTGCAGAGTGTATATAAATGTGACTTCCTGAACTTGCAGCTTCAGCAGCCACTCCAACTTGCACAGGATGCTATAGATGCCTTTTTGAAGCAGCTGAAAAATCCTATTGATTCTCTTCCTGGAGAACTTTTCCATGTGGTTGTTTTTTCTCTCCTTCTTTCTTATTTTCCATCACCTTACCAGAGATGGATTTGCTGCAAGAAAGCCCATGAACTGTTAGTGTTAAATGGTTTATTGCTTATCATCACACCTGATTCCTCGCATCAAAACCGTCATGCTATGATGATGAAAAGCTGGAAGATTGCTATAGAGTCCCTAGGTTTTAAACGTTTCAGGTATTCAAAATTTTCACATATGCATCTGATGGCATTTAGAAAAATCTCACTAAAAACCACAAGTGACTTGGTTAGTAGGAACTACCCTGGGATGTTATATATTCCTCAAGATTTCAACAGCGTAGAAGATGAAGAATATTATAACCCTTCCTGTTACGTTCGATCAGATATAGAAGATGAACAACTAGCATATGGTTTTACAGAGCTCCCTGATGCTCCATACGACTCAGATTCTGGAGAAAGTCAAGCCAGCTCCATTCCTTTCTATGAGCTAGAAGATCCCATATTACTTTTAAGTTAATATAAAAGCAAAAGGCCCTACTAGTCCAGACTTCTAAACTAATTGCTTACACTAATCAGAAATACTAACATGAACTCAGTACTTAAAACCTGGTTTGCATAGAAATGCAAAGGTTTACAGAGTTTGCTATTTTTTTCTACTTCTGGATTTTAAAATTTATTCTTATATAGAAAGCTTAAAGTTTCATGCAGAATGACTCTTGTCATAGCAGAAACCACTGTTACTTTAGCATTTAGCACTAAGAGATCATAGAAAGATACCTTTGTAGTGTTATTGTGAAAAATGAAGCTTAGTTTGCTCTGTATTTTTCTTTTTTTATCTTTTCAATGTTGACTTTAAAACATTACAATGAGAAATTTTAAGATATGTAGAAAGCAGTAGATTTCACTTTGATAATTCACAAGGTAAGTGTGACACAGATTGGTTTAGTTGTTTTGTAATGCACTTATTCTTTTTTCTAACTAAATTGTTACCTTTTACAGAAAGCCATTTTCTGTGTCCAGTTTTGTGTGATGATCCAACATTTCCTGAACTTTTTGGAATTGATGATAATTTTTTTTTCCCTTGTTCTTGCTCATTTGGCAACATCAGACATTGGGGGTGAGATTTCCCCCAAAGTATGTATTGTAATTTGATTAGCACAGTACAATAAACACCATTGCCAAAGTAGAATTTTCATACCTTTCTTGGGCCTTAGTGTTAGTATATTTAACTGTGAGAGTTCACTTCTACTTTTTTAAATTTAGGTTTCATTTACAAAACGTTCTATTTAAGCAAGGAACAATACTCGATATTGACCTTTGTAAAAGGGTTTGCACTTGTAAGAGAGCTTTTATTTTATCTGGACCAGCCTTGATAAAGGGTCTTCGCCTTTCTGTTAAGGAGGTGCTGCACTACAAGTCTGATGATATAGAAAAAAAATTTAAATTAACCCTTTGCTGGTCATAAAATGGTTCAGACCTTTCGGTATTCTTATTACTGTCTAAATCCTAGCTAAAAATTTTCTTTGAAAGTATAAACTATTAGTTAGCTGTGGGAATTTTCCCTTTCCACATTGACAAATGCCTTTCTGTGTTTCTGAATCAGAAGCAAATGATTAAAGAGAAATGTATGTCCCAATAAGACAAGATTTAGTTTAAGTAGCTAAGAACATTTAGTCCATATTATCTTATCAGCCAGCAATTCTCATGTAAATTATCATTTTTAAGAGTGCCACTGTGTGGAGTTTTTTTCAAGTGGTTATTACATTAAAATTACCTCATACTGAGGTTTTTGCACTGAAATATCACAGTTTCAGATTTCATGGTTAACGTACGTATGTGTGTTTTTAAAAGAACTTTCATTTTCAATAGTTGACCTAAATTTCATAAACTGCACTTCTTTACTCTGGTAAAACTGATGTTTTTGTGCTTATTGTGAATTGCTGTAGTTAACTTTGAATGGCAAACTTTACGTAGAAATACAAAATGTATTCTTTAAGATATAAATGGTTGCGTGTGTACCTGATATTTCAAATTAAAATCACATTCTAAATCAATGAAAGTAATAAGATTGTAATTAACCTTTAAAAAGTTAATTACATGCAATAAATATTGATTGCTCAAATATGCCAGAAGTAACTTGAAATTTTTCATGTACTTTTCAATAGCATAAGATAGCTTAATAATTAGGCTTGACTTTTCTTTCCAGTTAAGCATTGTTGGATCAAGTCTTGTAGCTCCCCCAAAAGAAGAAAAAAATCCAGTTTGATGTTCAAGATAACACAAAACTGTATTTTGGTAGTACTTTTACCATATTGCTTGTTTTCTTTGATTTGACTAAATACTATCCTAAGGGCAAAGAAAACATACCAAATGAAAATGCTTTGAAAGTAAATGAAACTGCTTTTGAGAGGTTGGTGTAAATACAACCTTGGAGTCAGCCTCTGTGTTACAGCTAAAATGTTGGTGCTATAAATTCTTTTGTTTACAGATTCTGCTTATGCTCCAAAATGTGCATGATGTATTTTAACTAGTACTTTACAGAAAAATCTCTTTATAAAACCTATACTACCACTTAGTATAAATTTTTTAATTTATAAATATCATTTGTTACTATAAATTCAGCTATTCAAATTAGGTTGGCACAGGATTTAAACTAATACATATTCCACAGAGCCAATCCAATGTATAAGTGTTAGAATATAAGCAGTTGTGTGGCTTGGTGCAAGATTATATATGTAATGACAAGAGAAGTTAATGGAGTCTTCTAATATTGTATGGGTATTCTCGAGAATGATTTCATTTGGATATAAAGAAGTTAAGGGGTCTCCTGTCATGTTTACAACAGGGTTCTCCAAAATAATTTGGTGTTTGAAAAACAAATGATTATTTGGTTGGATTCTTCAAGATCAAGTAGTTTATATCATAGTTGCCACATGGTAGGAGGTGGCATACCTGAAACTGTATGTTTGTGTTTGTTGTATTTTTCACATTTTGTGAACAAAGCACATTTATTAAAAATTTTAAATTTTCTAATATTCATTGTCTGGTATTTGTAAACAAAGTTTTGTGGTCTTTGACCTAGTGATTTCAGAATTGGGAAGCAATTTAGAACTTGAATGACGGGATTTTATAGCTGGATTCATCTAACCCCTGAATTTCATAAATCCATTCACTGAGATCCTGAGAGCTCAAGTGATTTCCTCATTATCATGCACTGTCATTATGTTTATTGAAGAAACATGACAATCCAGCATAAATTCTAGTTCATTGTATGTCAATAATATCATACTCTACTCTCCTTGAAAATTACATCAGATAATTTAGGTAAGAATATCAGTTTTTAAGGCAGCAGATGTCTTTCTCATGATGTGAAAGTTTTTTATTCATTGAACAAATGTTTGAATTCTACCATGTGCAATATACTAGGCAAATAATAGGGATTGATGTGATCACAGTCCCCTGCTTTCGTTGTGCTTATGACCTAATGAAGATGACAAAACATCCTTCATGGAGTCATTGTCTATCTAGGAATGATAGCCTACTGATCCTACACCTTTGCCCTTAATTTGTTTCCCAGAAATGGAACAGAAGGCAAAAAAAGTTTGTTTAGCGAATTACAAATACATTGTGGACAAAAGGGATGTATCGCTCAACCTTCTAGAAAAGTGCAACCTAAAGTTTCTCCGATCATTAAAAGCAGGGAAAAAAAATGGAATTGAACTTTTGCTCCATTTTCCCATACTTTTCTGAGCACAGCGCTGCACGGGTATTCCTCTTTAAGAGTCCACACACAAGGCAAGCAGCATGTAAATTTAAAACTTGGCTTCTTTGTGTTGCAAATTGTTAGATGATAGCAAAGGTAGAACATAAATTTTTCTAAATTACTAGTCTAAAGGACAAATGTTTATTACAATATTTATAATTGAATTCTTCCTATAAAAACAATTATAAGAACCTCCATAATTCATAATAAAAATTCATATTCATGATCCACTAAACACAAAGCTCCCTGAGATTATTAGTTGTGGCCTATATTACACAATATCCAATAAACAAGCATGCTACAATAGCTAACAATTTCATAATTAAGGATCTCTAAATGTTATAAAAGGAAGTACTGTGTTTTCTGAACCCTACTTTGTATTATTAGAGAAATTCAAACCTCAACAATTGGAAAGTCTTTTGTTCTAATTAAAATCAGGTTTGAATGTATGTTTTATCCTAAATTATTTCAGAATGAGCTCAGTAGTTTAATTTGTATTTTTCAAGTAAGAATCTTGTTACATATGGCACTGTTGAGTGGTAACTTTTAGTCAACATAAATAGCATTCAACTTGTAAATTTTATTTTTAACCATGATACCTTTGCTCAATTAATAGAAAGCTATTCCACTTTTGGCAGTAATATAAAACACTTGCTAATGTCACTGCTTGTTTTTAGTAATCAAAAGTATTGATAACTATATTTTAACAATAAGATTGGGCCCTTCAATAGTACCAAAGATGGTACCTATTTTTTTAAGTTAAAGGAAAATACAAAGAATTAAGTCATAGACATTGACTAAAGAATTTTTTTTTAATTTGTCAGTAATTAGAAGGCTGTAAAACAAATTTGTTAATATTTGATTGGAATGCCCATGCAAACTGTAAAAATAATAGGGAGCATTGTTCAAAAGAAAAATCAATATCTGTATTTCCTAGATCCAAGCCTGTTTGCAACTCTTTATAAAGAAAACCCAGGAGAACATACTTGTATCCTTTTATTGCCTGTATGTCATATGTACTGAAGACAGTCACAAACAAGTAAATCATTCTATAGTCTAATAACAACATTCTTTCTATAGATCTTTGAGCCTCTGTGGGGAATCAAATATCTATAAGAATATGATTAATGATCACAGAGATATTCTATATGAGGCTATTATAGAACCTACATTTAAGTCATATACATTTACTTTTATTCCCTAGACCTTCAAATCTTTTTTACATTTAATGCCACTCTTTAGCTAAGTCTGTTACCTTCAACCAAGGAAAAAAATACGAACATGACCATGGCCAGTATTAATTTAGTTCTTTCTCATATTCTTGTAACATCTCTGGATGAGAGTCTGCAGAGACAAGCTAAAATATATAGTAAATATGAAATCAGCAAGAAACATTCATAGTTTCCAACTTGCCATAGGCCTTTCACTAGGAATCCAAGAGATAACATGTTTCCCAAAGGCAGGAGTGGATGAAACATTCCCTGGAAATAAGGTAGATGGGCGATTGCTGGAAAGAAGAGAGGTATGCAGTCCATATCCCCGGAGCCTGCCTGCAAGAAGAAAAATGCTTAGGAAACAGACCTGAAAAGGAAGGGGGCTCTGAGGGATTGACTGTAAAAAGCTTTATATTTTCCAAACCCATTGAACCATTAGCAAATATTAAAGAACCAGAGTATAAGTTACTGTGAAAACATTTGGGTCCTGGGACTTGAAAGTAAAAAGATAACATTTTGATAGGAAAGGTGATGATCTGGAGCTTATGTAACCAGAGGTATTATCAAGGTAAGAAGGACCCTGGTGGCCTGGAGAATAGTACTACTTAGAATGAGGAGCTACAGAATAAGAGTTAAGATGTCACAAACTATCTTTTTAGTCTTGCTTGGTTCACATGACCTTTTGGTGCATTGTTCATAACCAATCTAGATGCAATTTACTTAAATGTGGGTATCCCTCATGGAAGTGCCAAATATAAATGATGTTGCCACTCCCTCCCTCTCCATTTCAACCTAACTCTCTCATTCACTTTAACTTCTATGTTAAAGTCCTGGTGGGGGACAAACCTCTGCCCTCTGCCCACCTTTGCACTAGCTTGTCCCTCTGCCTAGAATTTCTTTTATATTGATTTGCATGGCTTCTTTGTTTTTGTTATTCAGATCTTAGCTTACATGTTACTTCCTCTGGAGGACCTTCCCAGTCCATACAAACTAATACAGTCTCTTCACAGAACTGTAGTCTCTGAATAACCCTATATGAAGTTTCTTTTTCCTTGTTTGTGTGTGTGTCATGTAGGCAAGGCCCTCATCTATCCTGTTTTGTATCTTCATCCTAGAAATGGCCTCGCACAAACTGGTGATCAATATATGCAAATGAATTCATTTTACCAAGTGAGATGACACAGGACCACTGCTGATACTTAGTTTACGAATTTTGGAGGGTGGTCTGATTCTGTTTTATTAATTAGTTTAACACTTAATGTATTCTCAGAATTAGGTTATAGCTCAATATATGCTTCAGAAAAGTGAACTGGTTTGTAGAAATACAGCTTAGGTCAATGATAAGTGACTTGGAGCTATATAATTTCTTCTCTGCTCTGCTTACCCCTACCCATTTAAATTTCTTATATCTTTGTCTCAGATCCAACTTTCTCACCAGGTCTCAATATCCAATTCGCACCTCCCCCTTGTTGCCAATAAAATAATTTAAGTTTGTAAACCATCATTAGCTTTACCATATATTTAAAAGGAAGGTTTAACTAATTGATCTCTTCAACTCCATAAGAGTAATGCTCCAGTAGTTTCTTAATTCATGTAAGGGACACATTATTCCAACTACTTTCCGCTGGCTATGTATTCAGGTAGGTTTCCACCACTAAATGCTATGAGATCTTGGGCAAATCGTCACAGAGTAAGAATACAACACATAGTGACTTATTTATTTTAGCAAATAGCCTTTAATAACCTTGTTCCTTTTTTCTCTGTCTTGCTTCTTCTGTGCCCTCCGTGCACATTGACCATTTCACCTCCACCATTACCACCCAATTCAAAATCTCTGATATTCACTCTCTAGAACCATGCTGAGCAAGTTAGTCAGTGTAAAATTTTCTTATCTTCGATTTTCTCCCTCATGAATTCCCAGAAAATGATGTAAAAGATACCCAGTTTATTACAACCTACTTTGTAAGAGTTCAATGGAAACTACAAGTTTCAACACAAGCTTGTCTTATCTCTTTAAAATACGGATTTGTAAAGACAGGTAACCAATTATTTAGTATGTTTCATTCAACTATCCAGTTATTAAGCATAAAGTATGATAATATAAATTAGAAGAATCACCAATTTTGAGTAGGAAAGGATTAGGGATATCACAGCCTTAAATGATAAGGAAAAAAAAATTGAAACAGTTCAGTTTCTGAAGTACTGACTTCTCTAGCTCTACAAAAGCACACCTACTGTAGCTGGGGCTACATTCCAAGTTAGGAGTGTAACATCTTCCATGGAGAAAGTACTTGTCTGAATCTATCAATTAAAGTTATGGTACTACAGAGGTTGAATACAAGGACAAATTGGAGACTTAGTATCCCCTTTTGACATGACAACAGCCTAGAAAATAATGACTGGAGCAATACAAAAGATACATATTTGGAAAATATCATTCAGTTCTAAAGTCCTTTCAGTAGTCATAATAACAATTATCATTTATTAAGCAACTATTATCAGGTATTATGCTAAGTGAACAGAGAACATTGTCTCACTTTCATCCTCTCAACAAGCCTACAAAGTACTATTTTCACAATTGTACTATTGAGGAAACCGAATCTTTGAAATGTTAAGCAATTGTCTAAAGTTACAGAGTTAGAAAAATAGCTCAGCCAGAATACAACTTAGGTCTATCTGATTTCAAAGCTTATGCTCATTCACCACATTACTCGGGTTGCCTAATCAATGTAACTGAATGACTATATCTTTTTGAAACTAGTTTCATAAAATTTTGGCACTATGTATATGATGCTGTGAGGAAGTAAAGTTAAATAAGTATTTGCATTACACTGTGCAAGGCATTCTTTTACTTACCAAATTCTGCTACCAAGATAAATCATATAGTCTACAGTCATGCCACCCTGAACTTGCCTGATCTCGTTTGATCTCAGAAGCTAAGCAGGGGCGGGCCTGGTTAGTACTTGGATGGGAGACCACCTAGGAAGACCAGGTGCTGTAGGCATTTAAAAAAAAAAAGAGAAATTATATATATTATGCCTTCAAGAAGCTGTCTTTC